TTTGGTTTATTTCAATATTTATTTTTAAACAATATTCAGAACAACACACACATTTTCATTTTGATGTGTATTTTGAAAAATGAATTAAAAAGCCACCACATTTAAGGCACGTCCACAAATAGAAAATACTTGTATTAAATAAAAAAGTTTTTAAAAAAACGTTATGAATGAAAATAGTTTTGTGACACGTTTCTTTATTTTTTTTTTAATTTTCTTTTATATTTAAATATTGCACACATATTTTTTTTTAATTTTAATTAATTTTTTTATATTTGTATTTTTTATACTTGTTTGTTTTTTTTTATTTATTTGGTTTCTCAATTAAAACGTAAAGAAATTTTATTTCAAAAAACACACCGTTATAACAATTTTTATGTGATTATTGTTGAACAACTGAAATTGAAATGAAGTGAATGAAAATTTATTAGCAAGTTTTTAGTCAACACAACATCTACCGAATACTCTCATACACCATTCGCATTCATCGTCTTCGGCACGTTAATAATTTTCAATAGTATAGTATTATCGAAATACGGGCACGATAATAATGATGACGAAGATTATGACGATGATGACAATATAATATTAAGTAATAGGGATGGGAGATGAACAAATTACATACTAATTTGCGAAAAATGGGTACTTTTTGGGGGCGCAGAAACTGCACTTACTAAGCAGTGCTTTAGTAAATGGGTTTTACGGACCAAAAAATTTTTAACCCAGAGATCTAGTATTGAGCAGTGCTTGGAACAACAATGAGTTGACAAAACTGTTATTGAGTGGTTTGTCTTGTTTGTCATTCGTTGAAGTTTTTACTGTAAACAAAGGTAATACCTATAACATTTTTTTTTGGAATTAATAGGTGTTTCAAACTTAAAGTAAAGAATATTCGGAGAATAAACAAGATATAGTAGTAGTAGGTTTGTCCACCGATTAAACATTAAGCTGACATAACAAATTTTATAAATAAAGCGGGGTTTTCTCAAACTTGGCACGATATCTCGAAAAACGGATGTGATTGATGTCCAGATACGGATTCAGCGCAGCTCAATCCTTTAGAAAAGCTTACTTAGGTCTCTGGCTTTCGACTTTTTTTAAAAAAAGTCTATTGGCTCCGCAGAACTCCCTCAACAGTTCGCCTCTTTATCAAAATATTAAAAAAATTAACAAAAAACAAGTAAGAAATTATAGTCGGGCGAGGAAACCATATAATACCCTACACCTGTTACAAAAATGAAATGTGATTTTGTTTTCATAATAAAGCACTTCAGTTGAATTGCACCTTGCCTTGAATTATACTTAAGCCATTTATTGTTGAATAAAATTGTGGACATTTAAGTCAAATTTTGAAGGGGGATTTGTATAGGGGCTATGGTCAAATGAGACCCTATGATTATAAAATTCATGAGAGTCATCAAGGCTAGTACAGAACTTGGTTTTGCAGCTTTTTGTCGAGATGCGAGTATATTAAACATAATTATAAATTTAAAATCCCTATTTGTCGGGTTCAGTTGTATGGGGTCTAGGTGAAATAATGGACCGATGTTAACCATTTTCAGTAGGCTTCGTCTCCGGTACCATGGAAGATCATCTGCCAAATTTCATTGAATTATCTTCAAAATTGCGACCTGTAGTTTGATTAAAAGGTTTACAAGCCCTATTCGGGGGTTCAGTTGTATGGGGGCTAGGTGAGAAAATGGACCGATATTAACCATTTTCAGTAGGCTTCGTCTTCGGTACCATAGAAGATCATCTGCCAAATTTCGTTGAATTATCTTCAAAATTACGACCTGTAGTTTGATTACAAGGTTTACACGCCATATACGGGGGTTCAGTTTTATGGGGGCTAGGTGAAATAATGGAACGAAATTAACCATTTTCAATAGGCTTCGTCCCTGGAACAATAGAAAATCATGTGCCAAATTTCATTGGATTATCTTTAAAATTGCGACCTGTAGTTTGATTACAAGGTTTACATGGACGGACAGACGGACGGACATAGCTAAATCGACTCAGAAATTGATTCTAAGCCGATTGTTATACTTTAAGGTGGGTATAGGACCAATATTATTGTGCGTTACAAACATCAGCACAAATCCAATATACCCTCCCCACTAAAGTGGTGTAGGGTATAATTAACAAAAAATCAAAAAAAGTACTTAAAAATATAGTTTAGTTTTGGTACCCATATTAACAACACTGACGTTTGCAAAATAAAATGTTAAAAACAAAAACAATGCAAGTAAAAATTATAATATAATGATGAAAAAGTAATCAGTTCTAAGTGTAACAACAAAAACAATAAAAGAAACAGAAAACACACACCCCTTCCTGGTTTATTTACTGCTTTATACATACATACGTACATATATGTATGTAAATATAAATGTTTTATTGATCTTTCTTGTTTTTGTTGTAATTTATGATTTTGGACAAACAAACTATAATCAAGAAGAGTCTGGTATACAAAAAAAATGTATACATGAAGGAAAGTGCTGGCATAAAGAAAAAAAATAAACACAACAAAACAAACATGTATTAAAAATTCATTCATATAGGTAACCAAAGATGAAAACAAAACAAATAATAATAAAAAAAAAACATTGAATGAGCACATGAGAATTGACAGTAATTTCTTTTTGCTCTTTATTTACAAAATGAAATTAAAAAAAAAAAAAACGGGCACAACAACAACTACATAGTACATATTAAAGCTAACATGACGTTGGGTAATAAAAGAACAAAAACAAAAATAAATAAACAAACCACGTGTTACTTTTACAAAAAAGGTGATAAACTTTATAGAATTCTCCCAAAAATAAGTGACTAATATCAATAACTAATAAATACTTTTTTATATTGTGTATATTCTACAAGATAAGACAAGTGTTTTTTTTTTCTCAAATAAGAAATCAGGGTATACCCCACAATAAATTGCTTAAGCAATTACTCATGTGTGGGATGGTAGCCATAGAATTTCTAAAGAATTATTTAAGGTGAGAATTCAAAGTATTTAAAAAAAAAAGAAATTTTTCAACTTGTTACCAAGTTCCTGTTAGCACATACCATGAATAATATGACTGACCTCTTACTCCCTCGAATGTTTAACGAACATTTTCATAATTATTTTTTATCTTTATCTATAATATTGTTTCAATTCTTCAAAACCGTGATTTTTATTAGTAAAAACATAAATAATTTTGAAATGACACCACATTTCATTGTCTGGCATTTTGTAGAACTACTACTAGAAGTTGGTGGTGAGTCAGTGACTCACTTAAGGTCTGTGTCTGGTCTTGTCATGTCTTTTAAGCTTAAAAAACTCTTTTTTTTTAACTGTGGTATGTATAGTTGGTTTTACCTGTTGGTAGGTAACCATCTAAATCTGTATTATTTGCAATAGTTTTGTTTTGTTGGTTTTAGTTGCTAACGAAGACAGACTTATGATTTAATGTTTCTTTGTTTGTTTGCTGTTTGGTGGGTGATGGTGGTGTGCTAAATTCATTGAAATTTCATCCACACTCTAAATGTGATCTTGAGTTTGTCTTTCGTCATGAAGTCAGTTCGTTTACTGTGAGGAACATGTCATGCCATATTTATTAAGAAAGAAGGAAATTTTTGAAAATAAAGCAAATGAAATTGTGAAATAAGTTAAGAACTTCTTTAAGGATGAGGAATAAATGGAAAGGAGAGAAAGACGGGATATGAGCGAAAGATCACCCGAGGCAACGACCACGAGCTATCGATCACTACTAGCTAGCTATCATCTAGCTATCTACTATCTACTACACTATCACCATCTAGCTATCTATCATACTACCATCATCGATCTAGCACATCTATCGAGCGAGCGGAGCTAGCGAGCGACGCTAGCAGCAGCGAGCGAGCTATCTACAGCGCTATCTATCATCATCGAGCTATCTATCACTATCGAGCACTATCTATCATCTAGCTACTACACTATCTATCTATCTATAACTACCATTCTATCTTTCTATCTATCTATCTATCTATCTATCTATCTATCTATCTATCTCTATCTATCTATCTATCTATCTATCTATCTATCTATCTATCTATCTATCTATCTATCTCTATCTATCTATCTATCTATCTATCTATCTATCTATCTATATATCTATCTATCTATCTATCTATCTATCTATCTATCTATCTATCTATCTATCTATCTATCTATCTATCTATCTATCTATCTATCTATCTATCTATCTATCTATCTATCTATCTATCTATCTATCTATCTATCTATCTATCTATCTATCTATCTATCTATCTATCTATCTATCTATCTATCTATCTATCTATCTATCTATCTATCTATCTATCTATCTCTATCTATCTATCTATCTATCTATCTATCTATCTATCTATCTACCATTCTATCTTTCTATCTTTCTATCTATCTATCTGTCTATCTATCTATCTATCTATCTATCTATCTATCTATCTATCTATCTATCTATCTATCTATCTATCTATCTATCTATCTATCTATCTATCTATCTATCTATCTATCTATCTATCTATCTATCTATCTATCTATCTATCTATCTATCTATCTATCTATCTTCTATAGAGTTGAAAACTTGACTTTTCATGAATTCAGAAAATCGACTTTTCATGAATTCAGAAAATCGACTTTTCATGAATTCAGAAAATCGACTTTTTTAAATGTAAAAAAGTCGAACCCTCGACTTTATGTTTCAAACTATTGCAAGCTTGGTTTGGTAAATTTTCATGAGTAATAATTTCAATAAATAAAATCATTATTTTTTTAAAATAAAAACTGACAACTTTTCCTTGAGCAAACTAATCATTCTTAAGAATAACTATTATCACTATAACATTTAATTTCAGATGATGTCTCATATTTATATATTTAAATAAAAACCACTATTATGCAAAAAAAAAAATTATAAATAAATTACATATTAAAATAAGTTGCTGTCATAGAAGTTTTAAAAGAAATTGCAAATTACCTCATATAGAAATAACAGCTTCTTATTGTGGTTTCAAAATTTCTGCTAATTTTACCTGTAAATAAAAAATAAAAAAACGGAAAAAATTAATAATTATTATAATAGCTTCGATAATTACTTCAAATTTACAATATTATACATGACAAATTTACATTTTTCTTCAATGCGTTTTTAGTTTAATGAAAAATACGATTTCATTGTAAAGTAACAATTTCATTTTAATTAATACAAATCTAGTGCATGTTTTCAAAAAATAAAAATAAATTCAATTCAATTGAAATTTAATAAAATTTCGCTTTTACTTAGTATGCAAACAAAACTCATCATTATGCATGGTTAACACACTCACACACACACACATACAATTCGTATTACCTTAACAATCAATTCAATTTAAAATTAATTTTAGCATTTTCATTGGAAAATGAACTGCATCATTATTCGTACATAAGTAAAAATTATTTATTTACAAATAAAATATAAAAATGCAATCAACAAAAACTAAACCTCAAAATAGCCTTCTATACATAGAAAATATAAAATAAAATCAACCAACCGTATAATGTTTAAAATGCTATAGAAGCAAAAACAACTATCTAAACTTTTTATGTTTCTTGAAATAACCAATAACTTATTTTGAAATGTACGTATTATTTGCTTCTAATGGAGATTGCCGTATTTGACTCAAAAGCGAAATTGCTATTGACAGAAATAACTAAACACACCAGCAAATATAAAACTGGAGTTAGCTTACTTTGCTTCTAAGCTCCTCCATAAATATGCATATATAAAAAAAAGAGATTCATTTTTGATCATATCAAAATACATGATGCATTCACGAAAAAAAAAAATACATCATACGAGTAGATACTTAAAATATTTTCATGTGAATTTTGTTGCGGTACGTTGATAATTGTTTATTATTTTATTGTATTACTTTGGAGTATACAACATTTGCAAACATACGTACTATTGTGCATTAAGTGTTGCTTGTACAATTTTTTTTTTGTTTTTTTATTGTTAAACTGAGAAATAAAATAAAATCATTGTATTACAAAATTCTCATGAAATTAAACATTTACGGCCTATAGAATTGTTAAAAGTGTATGAGCCGGGCATGGAAAATTCAGTACTTTAATATTTTTGACACCGCGGTACCACCAACTTCATTTTCGGTACCTTTTCTAACTTATGAACTTTTGATAAATTGTCCGCATAATAGTAAATAGGCAAGATTCTAGTCTACAGTATATCCTAGTCTGTAGTCTAGTATATAGTCTAGTCAAAGTCAAGTCCATAATTTAGTCCACAGTCTATAGTATAATCTATGATCTATAGTGTAGTCTAGTATATAGTTCAGTCTGTTGTCTAGTCTTTTGTCTAGTCTAAGTCTGTTGTCTAGTCTATAGTCTAGTCTGTAGTCTAGTCAATAGTCTAGTCTGTTGTCTAATCTAAAGTCTAGTCTATAGTCTAGCCTATAGTCTAGCCTATAGTCTAGTCTATAGTCTAGCCTATAGTCTAGTCTATAGTCTAGCCTATAGTCTAGTCAATAGTCTAGTCTATAGTCTAGTCTATAGTCTAGTCTATAGTCTAGTCTATAGTCTAGTCTATAGTCTAGTCTATAGTCTAGTCTGTAGTCTAGTCTATAGTCTAGTCTGTAGTCTAGTCTATAGTCTAGTCTATAGTCCAGACTATAGTCTAGTCTATAGTCAGTCTATAGTCTAGTCTATAGTCTAGTCTATAGTCCAGTCTATAGTCTAGTCTATAGTCTAGTCTAGTAGTCTATAGTCTAGTCTATAGTCTAGTCTATAGTCTAGTCTATAGTCTAGTCTATAGTCTAGTCTATAGTCTAGTCTATAGTCTAGTCTATAGTCTAGTCTATAGTCTAGTCTATAGTCTAGTCTATAGTCTAGTCTATAGTCTAGTCTATAGTCTAGTCTATAGTCTAGTCTATAGTCTAGTCTATAGTCTAGTCTATAGTCTAGTCTATAGTCTAGTCTATAGTCTAGTCTATAGTCTAGTCTATAGTTCTAGTCTATAGTCTAGTCTATAGTCTAGTCTATAGTCTAGTCTATAGTCTAGTCTATAGTCTAGTCTATAGTCTAGTCTATAGTCTAGTCTATAGTCTAGTCTATAGTCTAGTCTATAGTCTAGTCTATAGTCTAGTCTATAGTCTAGTCTATAGTCTAGTCTATAGTCTAGTCTATAGTCTAGTCTATAGTCTAGTCTATAGTCTAGTCTATAGTCTAGTCTATAGTCTAGTCTATAGTCTAGTCTATAGTCTAGTCTATAGTCTAGTCTATAGTCTAGTCTATAGTCTAGTCTATAGTCTAGTCTATAGTCTAGTCTATAGTCTAGTCTATAGTCTAGTCTATAGTCTAGTCTATAGTCTAGTCTATAGTCTAGTCTATAGTCTAGTATATAGTCTAGTGCATAGTCCAGTCTATAGTCTTGTCTATAGTCTAGTCTATAGTCTAGTCTTTAGTCTAGTCTATAGTCTAGTCGAGTCTATAGTCCAGTATATATTCTAGTCTATAGTCTCGAGAAAATTTGGTTTAGTAAAAAGTATTCTCTTTGTTATAAGTTAGAACAATTTCAAAATTTAAATTTTCCATGCCTGGTATGAGCCAAAAAAGAGAAGCAATAAAAACAGTGGAGTTAAAAAATATGACAACAAAGTACATTTTTCAGGGAAATTTGTACCATAAAATACTGCTTGCTACTACTACTTTAAGCTTGCTGAAATTTGACTAACTTGTCATCGTGAATATATCGTGATGCATTCCCTATACATGTTTTTTTTTTTTTTAATTTCATTCACAATAGTGCATTTTGAACTTTTGATTTTATAACTGTGACTTGTTAACTAAAGGAAAACGGAAAATTCGATCATTTCACGAATAATGGGGCATCTACTAAACTCTTTTTCTATTTTATTCCAACCTTTCCAAAAATTTTAAATCATAAATTTTCCGAGAACTGTTCTTTCACAACAGTTGAGTTTGTTCGTAACAGCTGTTTATTTGTTAACAAAATTCCAGTAAAACATTTCACAACGAAACAGGGAACATTTTCAATTGAAAAACTGGTCCATCTTTTTCTAATGAAAATTAAATTTCGAAAATATTTCAACTGAAAATTCAATTCACAGTAGAGTGAATATTTCCATTCCTTTTTCATAAAATTAATATGTTTACATAACCAATATTTTACTAAGAATCTGTCATATCCAAAAGCTTTATATAAAGGTTATATGTAGTACAGAATTCACTCTAAAATTTTACTCCAAAAAGTTGGTCAGTTTTTATATGAATATAAAATAATTAAAATTCCCCTCATTTTACTGGCGCTAAATTTGCTTGTGAGCAAGCTTTTGTCTTTTGATAACGAAATTTTTTGCAATTCCTCTGAAAATACAAACTACAAAAAACCAGATTAATTTCTGGGAATTTTTTATGAAATGACCTTTGGATCTTTGGCTATATACATATAAAAAAACCCGTTAGTAATAATTTTGTTAGATTTCTTTTGATAATATTTTTAATTAGTTGCAAGCAGATTTAAAGGATTTATCAAATTAGCTTTGGAATTAAATAAATAAAAAAAAATATTATAATTTAGATAAAATGGGGCATCTACTCATATCGTTATGACGTATGTTACACACGTGAATTATTTATGAATAATTTATGCCGTTAGTCCGATCTAGTCTAGTCTATAGTCCGGTCTATAGTCGAATCTATAGTCCAGTCTATAGTTTAGAGTATAGTCTAGTCTATACTCCAGACTATACTCTAGTCTATAGTCCAGACTATAGTCTAGTCTATAGACTACTGTATAGTCCAGACTATAGTCTAGTATATAGTCCAGACTATATTCTAGTATATAGTCCAGACTATAGTCTAGTCTATAGTCCAGACTATAGTCTAGTCTATAGTCCAGTCTATAGTTCAGGCAATAGTCTAGTCTATAGTCCAGACTATATTCTAGTCTATAGTACAGACTATATTCTAGTCTATAGTCTAGTCTATAGTCTAGTCTATAGGTCAGACTATATTTTAGTCTATAGCCCAGACTATATTCTAGTCTATAGCCCAGACTATATTCTAGTCTATACTATAGTCTAGTCTATAGGTCAGACTGTAGTCTAGTCTATAGGTCAGACTATAGTCTAGTCTGTAGTACAGACTATAGTCTAGTCTGTAGTCCAGTCTATAGTCTATTCTGTAGTCCAGACTATAGTCTAGTCTGTAGTCTAGACTATAATCTAGTCTATAGTCCAGAGTTTAGTTAAGACTATAGTCTAGTCTATAGTACAGACTATAGTCTAGTCTATAGTGCAGACTATAGTTTAGTCTATAGTCCAGACTGTCTATAGTCTAGACTATAGTCAGACTGTATTCTAGTCTATAGTCCAGACTATAGTCAGACTATATTCTAGTCTATAGTCCAGACTATAGTCTAGACTATAGACTAGATTATTGTCTAGTCTGTAGTCCAGACTATAGTCTAGTCTGTAGTCCAGACTATAGTCTAGTCTGTAGTCCAGACTATAGTCTAGTCTATAGTCCAGACTATAGTCTAGTCTATAGTCCAGACTATAGTCTAGTCTATAGTCCAGACTATAGTCTAGTCTATAGTCTAGACTATAATCTAGTCTATAGTCTAGACTATAATCTAATCTATAGCCTAGATTATAATCTAGTCTATAGTCCAGACTATAGTTAAGACTATAGTCTAGTCTATAGTCCAGACTATAGTCTAGTCTATAGTCCAGACTATAGTCTAGTCTATAGTCTAGACTATAATCTAGTGTATATTCCAGACTATAGTCTAATCTATAGTCCAGATTATAGTTAAGACTATAGTCTAGTCTATAGTCTAGTCTATAGTGCAGACTATAGTCTAGTCCATAGTCCAGTCTATAGTCCATAGTCCAGTCTATAGTCCAGTCTAGTCTATTGTCCAGACTATGGTATACACTATTGAGAGGAATATGGAAAGGATTTAGAGGAGAAAAATTTGATGCCAATCGCTTCGATCAGTGAGAGAGAG